ATTCATTTGGTTCACACTTTGGGGTTCTCGCACAGGATCCACGGATCCCATAACTTCACCATGGAAGGAGAGTATTGCTGACCCAGATCTCACACCCATAGTTCTTTCAGGTCAACCCCACACACACAAAGATCTCCCACTAGTTACCACCTCCACAGGGTCTCCTGCTCAACCTGGAAGCCAGGGCCTTTGGGGCCACGCAAGACCCAATATCAAGCACATTCTCACAGCTTTTCTTCTTGTTATGAGAAACACTGGAAATAACTCTTTGTTGTCACAAGTCAGCAATGACTCTTGCTGTATTTCTGGAGATTCTCAGGACTGTCTTTTGAGATCTTTTTGGCCGTTCCAGAACTCACTCTGTAGACCAGGCTGGCCTCAAACTCAGGGATCTGCCTGCCTCTGTGTCCTAAGTGCTGGGATTAAAGGCGTGCCCCTCTCCGCCCCACCCTGGCGAGAAATACTGTTAACAAAACAACAAAACATGTTCTTGGATGCGTACGACCTCTAGTTAGAAAAGAGGGTTCTCATACAGTTTGTGGGGAAATGCCAGGCTTGGACCTCTTCTCTGCTCACATGTGACTGAAAATACCTAGGATGAAGAGATTCCTGAAGTGTGTGCCAACACCTGCATACAGCACGTGGAGTAGGATTGCATCACATCTGCAACATGACCTATGATACCCCCAAAGAAAAGGCCTCCTGTAATGGGTAGTTGTAAAAACACCCAATAAGACAAACATAGCTTTTCCCCACTTTTTCTTAATTTTCCTTGGAGGCATTCCTCCTGGTTGAGAATAATTTACATAGCCTGATATGTTCTTTGAAATCCTGTACTATTTGTCTAAAGAGTTGTGTGTCTTTTTGAAGTTATTAATTTTTTTCTTGTTTTTTGAGATGGGGTTTTTCTGTGTAGCCCTGGCTGTCCTGGAATTCACTATTTAGACCAGGTTGGCCTCAGAATTCACAGAAATCCATCTGCCTCTGCTTCCTGAATGCTGGGATTAAAGGCATGTGCCACCTGAATTTATTAAAATTTTAATTCATCAGTTAGGATCTTGAGAGACTGAAAAATACTTTTTGAAAAACTTTTTCAGCTAATGCAGTCTCTTTTTCTTACTTCCTGAGCTTTTATTAACTTTCTGTTTTCTTACAAAAATCTCAAAATACTTAGCATGCAAATTAGCTGGTTAAAGTATAATTGAAATCACAGTAATTCAGCATTTTGGAAGTGTCCCCATTACCATGTCTAAGTTTTTTACAAGTATCTAATGTAGTCTGAAGGCGGATAGATTCCAGACAGATTTTTTTAAATGCCTAAAGATAAACTTTTTATTGTTTAAAAATAAAATCGAATGTTTCATATTCTTAAAAATCAGTTTTTTCCATATAATAAATATCTTTCATAAGTTTATTTAGCTCTTTAAAGCACCAGAAAATGGTGACGTATTTAGATCTTGATATGATTAAGAATAAATTATATTTCTCCTGAAGTGTTGGAGGAATGATCCAGCCTCACAGAAGGGAAAAGTCAAGGAACCTTCCGAAGCACAATGCGGCTCTGCAGTCAGCATGGAGCTGAGTTTGCTGTTCAGGGTGGTTCCTCTTCTGGGGCAGTGGTGAGAGAAGGGGAAGACGGCCTTGCATCACGGTGGAGGCTGTGTTCGTGAACCTGTGTCACTCTGAGTAGAACATGAGCTCATGTCACTTCTATTTCCTTAACAGGCTTTGGACTTCTTGCTGCTCATATTTGCAGCTGCGGTGATGGTGTGGGCAGACCATGAGGCCCCACTTCTCCTTGGCCTCAGTGCCAGTTGGTTGCCATGGCATCGGGAGAATGGCGCTAGTGGGCCAGCAGCAGCCTTGCTTGGCAGGAGTCCGATGCATAGAGTGACCGTGCAGGAGGTTTTCACTTTCCTTCCCAGTAGCATGCTACTGCTGCTACAGAAAGAGCCGTGGAAGGAACAGACCCAGAAGGTGAGGGGTGGCAGCTGCCTGCTTAGCAGGGCAGGCCGGCTTTTGTCTCCAGCACTTGCTGCTGTAGGATGGAAGTGGGAATTAAACAAAGCTTGGATCACACCAAAGGCTTTCATACTCAGCCCCAAGTATCACTCTATGCCATGTCCTGGAGACCGAGGCCAGCCCAGGCTCGTGGTGTCTATTGTCTAGAGACAACACCAACAGAAACAGAAACCCTTTATGGTGAGGGGCAGCTAGAGATAAAGCCTGTGTCTTCATTCATTTATTGAGGGACACATGCTCTTGATCCTAGGGGGAAAGGATGCATTCTACCTCCAATCCTTGACGTCAGGACACATAGGCAGATGAGCTCAAGATTTAGGATGGTTTGCTGTGTGGAAGAGAGATGCAAGTCCAGGGGAGGCTCAGAACATTCTAGAGGAAGTGTAGGTCTAGAGTGAGTAGCTCTCTTGCTGTAACACAGTAAAGGGTCCGTCTGGCTTTTGTTTGTTTTGTTTTGTTTTTTAGACAGGGTTTCTCTGTAGCTTTGGAGCCTATCCTGGAACTAACTCTTGTAGACCAGGCTGGCTTTGAACTTCCAGAGGTCCGCCTGCCTCTGCCTCCCAAGTGCTGGGATTAAAGGCATGTTTCACCACCACCTGGCTTGATTCTTTTTTTTCCCCTTCTTTTGTTTTTTTGTGGCAGGGTTTCTCTGTGTAGCTCTGGAGCCTTGCTCTATAGACCAGGCTAGCCGCAAACTCACAGAGAACCGCCTGCCTCTGCCTTGCAGGTGCTTTGATTAAAGGTGTGCACCACCCAGCTTCCTTTTGGCTTATTTTATCTCACCGAGCCACTGTGTGTACCTGCCATAGCTGGCCTGTTCTAGAGCCTGATCAGGGTTTTATTACAACCCGATCCCATCACCCCTGACCTCAGGAAAGCCTGTGTCATAGGAAGCTCTTTGGGATTTAGTCCTCCAGTGTGCAAACTCAGCAGAACACATGGGAACATTGTCTCCTTTGCTTGGCTTTATCTGGCTCTGTCATGTCTTTAATACAACTAATTGGAAGATTCTTTTTGAATCCCATTTAATCAAAACTGGATTTTTATGATGTTGAAAGCTTTAAACTAATAATTTGTTGCTTATTCTTGAAATATGAACATTAATCCTTAAAAGCATTCTGAACAATGAACCCAGCCTTAGTTATGCCTAACCTCCACTGAGTGTCTCAGCTGAAAGACCTTTCAGAATTAAGTCAGATAAGAATTAGGAGGCTGCCGCAAGCTTTGCATTTTTTGTTCTACTTTTAACCAAAATAAATGTAGTCTCTTCTCTTATTTCCGGAATGGGACACTGTTCACTTTGGATAAAGGATAGACATCTTAAGTTGATTATATATTTGTAGTGACTACTAGTCTACCAGTAAGTTATTAGACAAGCCAAGGAAGGAAATTTTATGAGCCGATTATCCATGGCCAAAATGCATATGGAACCAGTGAGTAGCATGATGGACCAAGAATAGCTTTGCAGCCAGGTGTAGCTAGGCTCAAATCTTGGCTCTGCCGTTGAGAGGAAGGTGGCTTGGGCAAGGTCACTAACCTCACAGCCTGTCAGGGTGACTAGAGATAACGTTAATGATAAACAGAGACCTCTGAGCCCATGCCTAGCTCACTTATATCTGTAGGGGAAATGGGTTAGACTTGGTTTGGGAGCTGTGTCTTTCGGCCGTCTCACCTCTGTATCCCTCCACCCTTCAGTCTTCCTGTCTCATTTCTACTTCTCCAGCCTCAGCAGGAACTGCTAGAAGACTGTTGCCCTTCTTCTCATGTCTGCAGACCCAAGAGACCACTGATCTCATGCTGATGGTGGGACTTACGTCACTCACAATGTTCTTTTTCACCCTAGTTCATTGACTGGCTATTTAGCATCATGGAAATTCCTAACGAAGCCTTTGCAGCAAAGTCTAAGGATCTTTTGAAAGGTATTAATTACTTCATGCTTTATGCCCAACATGGGGTAAATCACACATTGCTGTGATGTGGAAGAGCATAGTTGGACACATGGCTTCAAAAAATGTCCTTAATGTGACCTTGCAAGTCAGAAAAATGGGTTAAAAAGGAGAATAAGTGCATTTCAACTTAACTTTTAGATAAATGGTATTAGGTATTTTATTATAATGGTAAAATAGTTAAAATTTACAAAATTTAGGAAAGTAAAAGTAAGATGAGCAGAAATTCAGAGTTCTGGAGACAGTTTTGATGCCTTTCTAGATTTCTCTCCATCCAGGATATGAGGACTCAGCATCTTTGTGATCTGGAACAGCTGAGAAAGTGCAGTAGATAGTTCTGGTTTCACCTTTCGTGGTTTAGCATTATTTTTAAATTCTAAAATGTATTCTTAGACTGGCTCCTAGTAATAGTCGGTGCTGCTTAGGGAACTAGGCATTCCCCGTGCTGTCAAGCACTTCCAGGGTTTCCTTGTTTTATACTTCTCCATGGACTGTCACACTATGACTGTAGGAAACCCCAAATGTGGAAGATCTTTCTGAAAGTTTTATAGAGCCCTAAACTTAGACACGAGGTGTGATTCGACTTTGGTCTCCTGATCTGAGATAGCTTGAACTTGTCACCTATGCCCTGGGTTCTGGACATAGCCAATGGCTACTGCAATGTCATAAGACATAGATTGCACTGAGAAGTGCCGTTCCATTGGCCTACCCTGTGGTGATTATCTAGCTTGGAATATACTCATATTTTACTTTAAGGAAAATATAGTATTATTATTACTAAAGAACCAAGAATTATGGGGGAACGGGAAGCATGCAGATGAGGGTCAGTGCCTAATATGATTCTCATACAGCACAGGGCCTCATTGCAAGTCAGGCTGTGATGAAGATATTTCACTTTATCCATTTCTAGGGAGTTGGCAATAAGAGTCCCTCTGTCTGTGTGCTGCAGGGAGTCTGGGCTGGTGATTGTTTCAAACACATGCTGTCTTCAGTTACAAAGCTAACAACTGATATCAATAAAGACAACATCACTTGACTTAAAGAATCACACTTTTACTAGATCACAAAGTCATTGGCTTACTGGATTGACTTGGGTGCCCTACATTCCTTCACATTCTTACCTTTTACATAATATCTGAATATATTAATATTCTAGAATAAGACAAGAAATATGTACTAATTACTAAAAGATATAATTCTGAATTTCTCTACTTTAAATTGCTTCTTGGGTCCCATAGCACAATAGGAAATACATACCTTACAGACACATGTCCATATAAAATTTAGTGTGGTATACTTGCTTCATTGAGCACATGAACTCAACCTTATTATAGGTGTGGAGTTTTTTCTTTAAGCATTTAATGGAGATAATTGTGTTCATGTATAAAAGAACACAAATTTAAAGTAAATTGTTACAAAGGGAACATACTCATGTAAATAGTAACACATTGAGAAAAACAATATCACTAGCATGCCAAACAGCAATAGTTTTACAGACTTTCCTATTTACTGATTATAGGCTAACTTTCAAAAAAGAAGAAAAAATGCCAATTACCTTTGCAATCTGTAAAACCCGTGAGGTTTTATGAGGGGGGATACTATTAAAATTCTAAATTCTGCCAAGCTTTGAGGGAAATCATTGTTAGTCTTGAAGACTTAGTTGCGTGGGAAGTGCCAACCTCCGCTCTGACACCTTTGATAAAATGACCTTCTGAGACCCACCACAGCTCTGTCAGATGCATCTGTGTGCTCTGTGCTCTTGTCCTCCTAGCTACCCTCCTGTCCTTGCGAGTTCTGCCGGAGTTTAAGAAGAAGGCTGTGTGGACCAGAGCATATGGCTGGTGACATCCCAGGAGCCAGCAGCATCCGCATTGAATGAGACGGACCAGAGAGACAGAGGTTTTCAGGACTGGTGTCTGAGATTGGTGAGAACTGATCCTCTCAGTTAGAAACCATGAGAAGGTAGCTTCATACTTACATTTCACCTTGTGTGTGGCCAGAAAAGGGGTGCCTTACTCGGGTACGCCGGGTATTTGAAGCAAAAATAGGAACATGATTTCTGTGTGACCTGAGTTCATTGTAAAAAATTCCTTTTCTTTGTGAAAACTGAATTATATTTTTTCTCCCTTAAATTCTAGTAAAATAATTTTATGAAATTTGTGTAATGCAACCTTTATTTTTAAGTCTGTGGTTTGCCGGTGAAAGTGAACCATAGAAGTGTCAAGGGTATGATGATCAATTTTCCTTGTTAGCCACAGAAGAAGTCACTGAGTCAGTGAGTTAGGCAGATTTTATCCTTGCTGATAAAACACACTTAAGAGAACTGTTAAGCACATTCAGATCGCTAGGCATGACACCCACTGGTACCCAGGTTAGGTTCCTCAGTGACAGGTGTTAACGCCTGTGCTTGGTTGTCATGCGTGCAAGTGAAGTTATCTGCTTCACAATAACAGTAGTCACAAAGGAGACTGTGAGTTCACAAAGAAATTCAAGGTTGGTCTGATGAATCCGGTGATGCTGATCTGTTCTTCTGGAGATGGTACCTCCTACTTGGCAAGGTGTCTGCCAGCAACCTCAAAGGTAAAGAAAGGTTCTTTTCCCCACAACCATGGGAGAAGCAGCACCGTGAGGACTCTAGAAGCCATGTAACTCTCTGAACAAGTATCTGGTCCCTGGCAGGTGGGATACACTCGGTGACAAGGCCTAAGTCACAGGGGAGGCAGCCCCAGCAAACCATCTGAACCAGGTTTCCGCAGGAGAAAGATGATAGGATGTTAGACAAGCAAAAACAGAAAGCTGTGTCCTCAGGAGATCACCCTTTTTACAAGTCCCGTTCCCTTCACCAGAGTGATCCGTGGCCTAAAGGTTTGAGGGATATCACAGTCTCAGCTACTGCAGTGGCTAAAAACTCAGGCAGCATTTTAATTTTGTGCTAATTATTGTGACTTCACATGGGCTCAGTCTGCAACAAGTCATATAAATGTACAAACTGGTAATAATTAGGAGGAAAAGTCGTGATACTGAACGCCAGGTGCTTTCGTATCTGCCACGCACAGTGCCTGGGGCTTCACAAACACCACGCAACTGCTACTACTCACAGGTGGCGCATATCTTCTCGTCCCAAAGTGCACCTGGCACGTTCAAAGTAGCACTACTAATTTTATTTTCCAGATATATAATTTCTTTACAAGTTGGACTATAAGGAAATAGGTTTAAGCCAAGCGAGAAAGAAGTGGTAGTGATTTATACCAGCTTTTTTCTCATCCCATGTGTAATAGAGACTGAAAGACATCTAGCATTTAACTATTGGGTGCCAGAAAGTCAGTACACTAGACTTTTCATTTGGCTTAGCTTGTTTGAAGTATTGCAACAATGCCCAGGGAATATTGTTTTCTATTTTAAAATGGAGCAAATATATTTAGTAAGTGGGACAGTTTTGCCTAAAAGCAAGATCCTAGAGCCTAGATCCAAAGCTATTGCTACTGCATCAGATACCTTGGCTCCCACTTTAAGGTGCAGATCCGCTAAGAGAAACACCAGGCTTTGGGCACTGGGAAGCTTGAGACTAGTGAAGCAAACCAAGTGTGTCTGCATGCATTAAAGAGCTGTGGATTCCAGGCTACCTTGGAACACAGGAGACTGTGAGCACTGAAGAGGAAGTGGGCACTGGAGACATCGTGAATCAGCAACCAAGCATTTGCTGATGCCCAGGAAAGGAAGAATCTGCCTAGACTTCAAATTTCAGATTTCTCGTGTCTTTTCAGCCCGATTTCTTTTCAAACCTGGTATTTCCTCCTGTCCTTCACAAGAAAACAGAAGTTTACAAAAAGAAGGAAACAGAATAATCTTCAGTCTCCTCTTTTCTAGTTCTTTCTGTTTTGATCAGTCACGGATGGAAGTCATGAGGTTTTCTGCCTATGACCCTCTAAGGATTCTAAATTGGTAACTCTAAAGATTAAACTCAAGGGTATGCCAATGAAATAATAGCCTCCCTCCTGGTTACCTGCATGACCCCCAAATGAGAGTTAAATGTTTGATAAAGATACTCCACTTAGTTTTACACAAGCAAGCCGACGTTTCTTTTTTAGACCATGTTCTTAACTACATAAAGGAGTCTTGGTTTCAAGTCCTCTCTTGTCAGCTTTTGAAAACAGGAGTTGCCAAGACGAATAGTAGTTGGGGCTGCATCAGTGTAAGGTTAAAGCTACATTGTGCCTCAAAGAAGTATCCAAACACAGATTGGATTTGGAAAGTGTACATTTGGCAAAGATGTGGGTATCCATGCAATTGTCTGAAATCATGTTACAGTCATAACTTAATAGCCCCATGGTATCCAAGGGGCTGCTAAAAACATTTTATGACTTGAATTAGTAATGTTAACATTAAGTAAAAGATGGAAGAGTTTTAAGATGCTAATGTCACCTTTTAGGGTTTGGTAAAGGTGATTGTAGTCAAAGCTGAGGAAGAAAAGACATCTGAAGTGGAAGCCCCATTTTTCTTAGGGAACTCATCATCATACAAATTAGGACTAATAAGTTTCCCCTGTGTAATTCAGGAGGCAACTCTGATCATCTTTGATACAGGATCAGAATGTATCTTTTGGAGATGTATCAAAGAGTTCAAGGGTCCGTTCTGTCAAGTTCCAAGAGGTCCAACTGTCTTCCTATTTCTGTTAGCTACAGCACAAGCTAGCAGTGTTCCTGCTAGAGCAGCTGATCAGATCTACAGCTCACATCTATACTAATCTCACTGAGCTGGCTAGCATCTTGCTCTTGGATGTCCAAGCTTCTAGAACTGTAAAACATAAAGTTCTGTAGAACTTCCACACTGCTGCAGTAGTAGCCACAGGACAACCAAGTCCTGTGGGAGGGGGTGCACTTTGCGACATAGCAGCAGCTGAGCTAAGACATTTGATAGATATCTAAGTATACATAATGCTCAAAGTGATTGACTCTAAGGGCGGGGGCATTTGTCTATAGAGTATCTAAGTATACGTAACGCTCAAGCTGCTTGGCTCTAAGACTGGCGGCGGCAGAGGGGTTATCTATAGATAACTTATGTTATCCTAGAATTAAAGAGGATGCTTAACAGCATTGCCTTCCTATAAATCTGCTAATTGCGAATGCAGAAGTTAATCAGTTGGCTTCTCAAGTCAATTGAACTTACTCCACTGAATCTACTACTCGTTAACTTTGCACAGAAACATTCAGACCTCACACACTGAAGTCCCCAGACCTGGTGCAGCAAGGTGTGCTGTGCCTGTGGAAGATGTGTTCATAAGGCACGGTCGAGGCGGAACAGAATCTGCGGTGCCTGCAGGAATCCATGTAACAGCTTGTTGTCAAGTTCTCAGTTCTCTTTCCCTAGCATATGCCCAGAGCTGTGTCTGCTGCAGGGTGACCCAGCAGCCTGTCTCCTCTCTTGTGTGATGGGCAGGAACGCTGCCTCACATTTTCTTCTGCTTGACAGAAAAGACTCTGAGGACATCTTTTCTTTCTGTGTAAAGATGGCTGTAGGTGAAATACATACCTACGATGCAAAAGAAAGTGAGGTGGGTTAGCCACTCCTTTGAGAAGGTCTGTGGTTTTAGGACACAGGCAGGGGGCTGCTTGAATTCTAGGAGCTACACAGCTGCAAGGGAGGCTCAAGAAGAGCAATGAAGAACCATCCAGATTGTATGTAGAAGGGGAATGCAAGCAAACTCTTCCGTCCAACTCATTCTACTGCAGGCTAGCCCTCCCCTCCCCTCCCCCTCTTCTTTAGTAGCTTTCCATACTGCGTCTAAACTGTCTGCTTTTCTTCTTCATTCATGTGTGGTACTCTTACACTTGGAAGCTGCTGCCTCGCAGACATGATTAGTATCTTGATAATCTGTGAAGGGTGGAGTAAATAATAGGAGTCTTTCCCCCAGTTTCTTGGAAAGCAATGTTAGTAAGTTTGTGCATATATAATTTTCTATTAGCCCACACTACATTTGATTAAATGACTCTTAAGTAGCTCCCCCCTTTGACTGCATATCTCCTACGTACGTTACTGTAGTATATTAGTGGGTTTGGTGTGGTTATTTCCACACGTACACATGACATGCACTGATCACATCTCACCTCCCTTCTGTCATTCTTCCAGCCCCTCATAATCACATTTCAACTCTCATGTTAATTTTTAAATTTTCACACGTAAGAGAGAACATTCTGGCTCGCTAACATGCCCTCCATTTCCATCCGATGTCCTAGACTAACAGGAATTACTCTTGCTGGCTAAGTGTCCCACTGTGTGATCGTGCACCGTGTTTTCTCTATCCGTCCATGTGGGCAGACTCGTGGGCTGGTTCCATATCTTTCTGTTGTAAATAGTGCCACAAATATCACGGGTATGCCTTCTCTCTCGTGGCTGCTAGCTCCACTTCCTTCTGTCCTCCAAGGGGCAGCTGGATCGTACGGTAGCTCTATTTTTAGATTTTTTGCAGAACTTCCACACTGCTGCAGTAGTAGCCACACTGATTTGCATTCCCGACAACCGTAGTTTCTTTTTCTCCACATCCTCACGAGCATTTGTTTTTGTTGTTGTTTGACTGGTAACAGCCAATCTGCCTGGGCTGAAATGTTAGCTCACTGATTGTGCTTCCCTGATGGTTAGTAAAAGGAAACATATTTTTCATAGTAATTGACAGTGTAAACATATACTTTATAAGTCTACCCAAATCACAAACACATTTTCTAATTGTATTTCTTATTTCGTATTAAAGTTTTTAAGGTCTCTGTATCTCCAGAGTAGCTGGCGACAGTTCTCTTCCTCTCTGTACATTGTTCCTTTGCTCTTTTATTTGGTCTGCTGTGTAGAAGCTTTCTGACTTATTGTCATCTCATTAATTCTTCCTTATGTTTCCCGAGCTATTAACATCTTATTCAAAAAAATATCACGTGTATCATATTTTGAAGTCTTCCACTGTTACTTTCAGAGTTTCAGGTCTTACATTAAAGTATTTGATAGTCTTGAATTATGAGTTACGTCTGTGTAGGGTGAGGGTCAGGTCATGTGTCAGTCTTTTGCATGGGTATATCTTGTTCTCCCAGCACCATGTGTTTCTCTCATGTGTACTGTTATTGTTGGCATGTTTATTTCCTTTTTTATTGGTCTTTTATGCCAATACTATACTGCTTGTTACTGAGTCTTGTGTCTTGGAATTGGGTATTGAGATACCTCCAGCTTTGTTCTTTCTGCTTTAGGGTTTGGGGCTTACATACTAATTTTACGGGTTTTGTTGTTGTTCTGTGATGCATGCTATTTATTATTTTATTATTTTTTAAATTATTTTCTTAAAAGCTTATGTGTGAGTATGTGTTTATGGTACTGCACGTGTGGTATGCTGGTATGTATGCCATGTGTGCAAATGTAGTGGCCAGAGGAAGATTTCGCTCTTGACTGTGCCTCTCCCTGCCTTATTCCACCGAGACAGGATCTCAGTGAACCTGGAGCTGGGCTAGCAGCCAACAAGCCCCAGCAATTCTCTTGTTTCTACCTCCTACAGCCCCAGAGCTATAGGTATGTGGCCACGTCTAGCTTTTTGGTGGATGCTAGGGATTCAAATTCAGGTCCACATGCTTGTATAGCACAGCTCTTACCCACTGAGTGATGATCTCGGTCCTCAAAATGTCTACAGAGTTCTGATGGAGATTGCATTGAATCCCTAGATCACTTTGAGTGATATGGACATTTAATGATTGCTGCCAACCCATGAAAACTGGCAACCTTTCCACCTTTTAGTGTCTTCAGGCTCTTTCACCAGTGCTTTGCGCCTTTGTTGGAAAGGATTAGTACTTCCTTAGTTTGTTAGAGCTGTAGTTTGTGGTTATTGCGATTTAGATTTTGTTCTTAAATTCTTCCTTAGCAAATTCATTATGTGTGGAAGTGCTTTTTTAAAGACAGAAATTAGAAACATAGAGACCTAAGTAGACAGAGTCATTTTGAATGAACTTTGAGAAGGCTGTGGAGTGCGAATGTCCCTAGGTGCTGCCCAGGAGAAGGGCTGGCTGCTTCTGCTGGTTCTGTCCTGCTGTTCAGTCTGTTTCTCTCTCCTGGTGGTTCTGGTGAAGTCTTTAGCTGTCCCCCAATGCACCCCGTGGTTTTTCGTTATTTTACTTTGTTTTTAAGACAAGGTCTCCCTCTCTTGCTCAGATTGGCCTCAGAGGGACAACCCTCTGTGCCATCCTCCGGAGTGCTGAGATTTCAAGTGTGAGCCGCTGTCGCTGGTGTACATTTTTCTATGCATCTGCCACAGCATGCATAATTTGACTCCCGTCCTTCCTGTGTATCTGCCTGTCTTTCTTTCTCTTGTCTAATTGCTTTGACTAAAATGAATAGGACTCTGAAAAAGAGCAAGGAAACTGGACATCTTGTCTTGTTCCTGATAATAGAGGAATTATTTTGTTTTTCAATATTCGGTATAATATTAGTTCTGAGTTTGTCATACATAACTTGTTCTTGTATTCTTACCATGAATGGGTGGTAAACTTTATCAAATGATTTTTTTACATCTACTTATAACTTTTATATCATATGGTAGTTTATTGGTTTGTAGGGAATGAACTATTTGAAGCTGGGAATGAAGCCTAGTTACAGTGTGTGATCTTCTGATCTACTGATATATTGTTAAGAGTTCATCATCTGTTGGTTGGACTGTTGGGCTGTAGTTCCTTCTGCATTTTGGTAATGTTGGCCCAAATGATTGCCTATTAACTTGAGAAGAAAGGGTACTGGTTGCTCTTGGTTAAATCTTGGTAAAATGCATCCATGAAGCCATCTTATGCTGACTTTTCTGCATTGCGAGATTTATTACTAGTTTATTACTCATTTCTAGCCTGTTCAGGCTTTTCTATACCCTTCTCTATATCCTGTTGGCTGAATTTCAGGTGATCTTTTGTATCTAGAAATATTTCCAATTTCCAATTTGTGGACAGGTAGGCTTTAAAAATAATCCCAACTGTTCTTCTGCATTTCCTTTAACATGTCTAACTTTATTTCTTTGGATCTTCTATTTTGGGGGGAGGTTATTCTAACTGAAAGGTTTATCCGCCTTTTTTCCGTTCTTTCAAGGAAATAACTAGTTTTATTTTGTTGACCCTTAGTGGTACTTATTTTCTGTCTACCTCTGGTCTAATTTTTATTTCTCTTCATACAGTCATTTGGAATTTGGTTTATAATTGTTTTTCTTAGCCCTTGAGATGTATGTGTAACTTATTTATCTGAAATACTTATGTTTTTTATTCATTGTTCTTGATACTGTTTTTGATGTATCCCATAGGCTTGGGTTCCTATATTTCCATTGGTTTCAAGAAATTTTTTCCTTGGACTTTCTCAGTGACCTTCTGTTTGTCTGTAGGAGCAAGTGAAAGCAGGGTGCAGCCAGCACCTTAGTTTCTTTGTGGTCTTCTTTGAGCCATGTGCCCTGAAGCCTTAGCATTGCTCAAGGCCACTACAGATACTATTGTGGTCAGAGAAGTAATAGAACCACAGAAGGCTTGCCTTACCCTGTAAGTGGGAGGCACCTATGCTTGTATGTGTGTGGAGGGATGGTTAGTCTCAATTCTGCTATGATTCTGCACTCTACTGACCATACCCTTGTCTTAGAGGGTAAGGGATCTAATCCCCTGCATTAACACAGTTTGCTGGGACTCTGTTCCCTCACCCTTGCGCAGAAGGAGATTCCTTCCCACCTAGTAGTACAGCATGGCAAATACTCAAATATTGTATATCTATTGCTGTGCCATGTCTTTTAATCTTACAGTGTTCTGGTTTCTCCTAGTGTTTTCTTGTACTCTCCTCAAAAAGTAGCTCCAAACCTATTGCTGGTGTTCTCTTTGTGGCACAAAACACTCAGCCATCCTGAAATCCATACAGGTAGGGGTGTGTGTGTGTGTGTGTGTGTGTGTGTGAGAGAGAGAGAGAGAGAGAGAGAGAGAGAGAGAGAGAGAGAGAGAGGAGTGTTTCTGTGTTTTATTTTTGAGACAATATTTCTCTATCAGGCCCTGCTGCTGTCCTGGAACTTACTATATAGACCAGGCTGGCCTCAAACTAACAGTGATCTCCCTGCCTCTGCCTCTCAAGTGCTGGAATTAAAGGCATGTGTCACTAAGCCTGGTTCAAGTGTAACTTTTGTGTGTATAAGTGTTTCATCTGCATGTATATATGTGCACCACACACGTGCCTGCTGCCGAAGAGAGGGTGTGGATCTCCTGGAAATCATGATGGTTCTGAGCAGCTCTATGGGGACTGGAAACTAAACCCACGTCCTCTGTAAGAGCAGCAAGTGCGCTCCTAAGCATGGTGCCATCAATCCACTCCCTCCCCACAACTTAAGTTTGTGTTCATAGTTTTCCTTGAGCCTTTGTCACCAACTTCCTGTTTGCCTGCTAGCAAGTGCTAGCATGTAAAGCCAAACATAAAACAAAATGGGTATAAATGAAAAAAGTAAAAAGAATAGGTATTCCTTCTGTTTGGCATGTTGTTTTATAGGCATATCTTTGTGGTAAAAAGCATGTCTGTATTTCATGCATCTTGCAGGCATATTTTCTATGAGTTGTTGTTGCTGGATAGTGAAAAGCTGCAAGGGCCTTAACTAGACTATCTAGTTCGTTGTGTTGGGCTTCCATTTTAGTCCTCCCCACACTTACCTATCTGCTTAAGTCAGCGGCAGTATAAACCACAAGAAGAATGCAAAAACAAAGTATCCGCTTACCTATGAAGAGCATCATGAGATACAGCTTCAGCACGTAAGGCAAGTAGCTGGATATGTCAAACGGCAGCACAGTGGAGTTGGTGCCAAACGACTCAAAATAAGGCAGTGACTGATAGATGGTAAATGCTGTTTGAAGAGAACAAAGGTGGTGAAGATTCTCTTACAAGTTACAGAAATGTGCGTGCATGTGCAGCTTTAATGAAGGCAGTTTTGAGTCAGCAATGACAGTTTTGTGAGGGTTGCTGAATCCTTTAGTTAAAGCTGGAACTTGATGTAGAAGTCTATGGAGTGCTTTTGTTGCTTAAATTGTTCCAGCATTCTGACTTAGTAAACTGTTGCCCATTGTATACCTGCTATTGAATCCACACATTCCTTGCTTACATAGAAAGACTGTGTAGCACTTCTTAAAGTGATGACTTTAAGTCATCAGTTTTAAGTCATACAGTTCTCGCCTCGCTCACAAATAGGGAGACCGTCAGGTATAGAAAGCGCTACATAATTTTCCCCTTGGCGTGAGATGACACACGTTTAACAGCGGAGACTCTGAGAGGCTCTGCAGTGATGAAACAGACCTCCCATCATGCCACAACTGGCCTGAGAACGGCTTCTTTCTCGTCAGCCCTAGAAGAACTTAGCACAAACCTGGAGTAACTCTGAGAAATGTTGGCGTAAATTAGTCTGTGGGAAGAGGCGAGTTTAGTGTTACAAATAGAGGATCCATCAAACTATATCATATGTGTACTTTTTTTAATAACATTTCATGCAGTAAAATGACATGCTGCTGCCATCTGGGGAAGTGTATTACTATCTTGCCTGTGTGTTTGTAAATATACTGCATGCAGTACCCGTGGAAGCCAGGAGAGGGTGGTGGATCCTCTGGGACTGAAATTACAAACAATTGTTAACTGCCACGTGGGTGCTGAGGACTGAACCCAGGACTTCTAGAAGAGCAGCCTCTGATCTTAGCTGCCAGGCCATCTCTCCAGCCTTGTGGTGCACTCTTTTTACAGTTTCCTATTTGTCTGAAGTTGCTTCAGAATAAAAAGTGGTTGCAATGTGATAAATTCAGTCTGTAGCTGAAGCAGATAGATAGGGGTTGGGTGGCATTGGTGCAGTGCTTCCAAAGGACACCACACATGCCATTAAGTTTAACAAAGGTGGTCGCCAAGTCTCAAGCATTCTGGCATAGAAGTGATTGCTTGGATATGTATGAGAGCTTTGTTTATTTGTTGCATTTACCAGACATGAAAATTACAGCTTTAAAATTAAGTAGGAGTTATTAACTTTATTAAAAGTTAAGTAGATTTCCTTCCCTGTCTGGTTTTATACTCTGGAACAGTCGACACATGCGAAGGACAGATCACAGGCCCCTTCTGCCCTGTCTGGGGTTAGTCCTCACCAACACTGTGTTGTGTATATGCCTTTATATGCCTGGGTTTTCTTCTGCCGATGCTTTGGGGAGAGTAAGATTGTAGGCTAGTAAAAGAAAAACAGGCTTCCCTCAAAAGGAAAAGGCTGAACAGCAAGAAGAGAAGTGTTTCTTGTATACCTACTCATCCTCATTTTTAGGAAAAGAATCCATTATATGGTCTTTAGAAAACACTTATTTTGCAAATATAGTTTTAATTAACAATTCATAATATATATATATGGATAATGGTGTGATGTTTTGATATATGTATGCAGTGCTGAATGATGAAAGCTAGTATTCAACATCTCATTTTTGTATTGAGATGACTGAATTTACTCTTTTTAAATAAATGTACACTATTATTAACGTACATTGCCATACATCTTACAGTTGTATTTCTCCTAATGTAAACCTCTTATCCTCTCCAGCATCCAATCTTCTATGTGCTTTATAGTATTTCCATATGCCAAGGCAAATAAATGCAGTTAGCAAATCTTCCATGAATGAGGGATTCCATTCTTAAAGAATGCACAGCTGAGTCTGTTGTTGCTGCTGCTTTTAATGCTTTGTAAAATATTATTCTCTAGATTCTCTGAATATAGTATATCCCAAATTTTAACGATTAATTTTAAAAACAAAAGAAAAATTAAAATCCTGATTTATTGTCTCTAGTCATAAGTAAATAGAAAAACGTTGTGTGGCTTTCTTCTCTATACCAGTCCTCATCTACTGTGGCTATTATTCACAACAGCACTCTCTTTATAATGTCTTTCTTGGCCTGTAGTTACTTTAACATGCTTTTTTCATTATTTAAAAACTTTAATCTTGACTTTCAGAAGAAACTCCCCGCAGCCTGTCAAATCCACGACTTGGGGAGTGTTTGTTCTTTGCTTAGCCTCAGGTTCTTTGAAAACTGCTCACTTTGGTTATTTAATTTTGCTTTATTAAAAGAGTCAGTAGTTGATCTCCTGTTTGTTGGGCATGTATGCCAATGTATGTTTGAGAAAGGAAAGAAGCGGGATACCAGACTGACTCCTGTGTGTGTACATGGAACCTATTCCATGAGGGACATGGACATGTAACCAAGAATCATACAATGTCTAGTTGCAGCTGAGATGTACCCTATAAAATAATAATCCGTGGTGCTGTACTGGGAAACCACCTTAGCTGAAAAGTTGGTGGCACCCCTCTGAAAGGGGAGATTCGTGCGAGGGTGGCCAAATGGTCACTGGCAGAAGTAGGGCGTTTAGGAGGTGGTGAGAAGCACTCTAGCCAGAGATGACCAAATTTTTAAGTATTAAAACAAATTAAATTCTACCTTCTCTACATGCTCAACCCAGTTTGGAGACTTGGAGGTGAAATGAGTTGCCCAGACTCATACTTAATGAAGGTAAAGACCTGGACATGGATGCTTATTTCTAGCCCAGTATGGGCTTGCTCTCTCTCTCCCTCCCTCCCTCCCTCCCTCCTTCCCCTTCTCTCTTTCTCCCCTATCCCTCTCAATCATTGAGGCAGGGTCTGCCTGTGTATCCGTGGCTGTCCTGGGTCTCTGCAGACCAGACTGACCTTGGTGTTTCTGCCCAAAGGGTTACAAGTGTACACCACCACCCCCCACTGAACTTCTTAATGGTTTCTCTGCAGCAAGGAAATAGACAGTGGAAGATATCATCAGTAAGCCAAGAACTATCAAAAATAAATAGCTGTTTCTTCATCAAAAAAAATTAGTGAGCAATTTGAAATCAGTGGCTTATATGAGTCAGAACTATAACACAGGACTCTTACCTTCGGCAAGAACACACAGTGGGTAAATTGGCATCCACAGCGTTTGACTGAGCCATGTCAAGATAGCGTAAGATGTTCCTATGACTGACAGCATGCTGTATGTGTACCTGGAAGGAAATGGGTACTTCATAAGTATCATTTGCTGCTGCTGTCTGAGATAAAGAGAAGAAAATGCCTTCCTACAAATTAAACCCTGGAATAAAATTGGAAGTGTGGGAATTACATGCTTTATTTCCTATAATTTAAGCAAGGACAAGGGTAAAAGCGGCGTATCGTGGGGTGGGAAACCTGTCTCCCTGGCTTATCTCGTTGAGTGGATCATAGATAATTATACAGCTGAACAGAACGAGAATGTAGCTCTTACCTCCTTCCAAGAAATTACAATTATAACCTTCCATGATTAATGACTTCAATTTTATTTAAAAGCCAAGCTCGTTTTGTGCAGCAGCAGCTAGGCTTCTTGAAAAGACAGAGCTGTTTGCACTTATTGTAAAGGATGGATTTATTAAAACCCAACTCCGGAGTTGACACCTACCATTCTCTGTGTCTCTGGCTTTGCCCCATTACACAGTCAGAACTGGCCTTCATTGAAAATATATAGAAATACACTGATTTGTATTGATCTTGTGTTATACAACGCTGATAAACTTGTTGGCCACTCACAGTTTTCTACCAGCTGGATGCCTCTGACATTTTTTCCCTAGTTGCTGTGGCTAGAAATTCCAATGCAGTGTTGAACAGCATGGATGTCCCCGTTGCATTCTTAGGAGGAATACATCCATCTCATCATTAGCTCTCATGTTAGTTGTGGCCTTTTCACAGGTGCCTTTAATGGGCTGAGTAAGGTCCCTGTTTGTTATTTTCTATAAACAAATTATCTCACATAGATCGAGATGATATTTTCACTCCCATTTTGCAGAAAGAAACACACAAACAAGAGCCTGGGGCTTTACTTCTGGCTCTAAGGAAAACAAAACCTGTGCATGGGTGCTCACGGAAGGATTTCTTAATTCCCAAAATGTGGGAATAATACAAATATGCATCAGCTATGTGGATAATCCAGAGGTATTGTGGTGATACAATGGAATATTATTCAGCCACAAAATGCCACGAAATACCATTACATGCTGCAACACCATATAAACCTTGAGAACATTATTCCAAGTAAAATGAAGATAGTAACAAGAGATTTTATATTCAGTGACTGCATTTAAATGAAACATAAAGTAGGGAAACCTACAGAGATAGTATGAGAATGGTTGCCAGAACCTGGGGAAGGAGGGAAGCGGGAGAGATGTGCACATATGGGCATGGTATTCCTAGTGGGTAATAAAGTTGCTCTTTGCCTGAATAACAGTGATGGTTGTGCATCTTTTTGAATATACAGGAACTCACACATTTAATATTTTAAAAAGTTAAATCTGTGGTAGGTAAGTTATATCCCAATAAAATTGATATTTACATAAAGGTAAGTGATTTTCCCCAAGATTGTGTAGCAAGTAAGTAGTAGAGGTTGGTGTTGGTTTCATCCTTCTGTGTCCTCTGAGTCCACAAATCATCCCATGAAAGTCTGTTACCACTTTCAACACAAAAGTCATTTTGTTCTGGTTGGGTCTGCCTGAAATTGAATACTGAGTTAGACAGAATCATATTCCATTATATTGGAAAGCTGTGGTCCCTAGGGAGGAGTCAATGCCTTGTATAAATAGGCAGTCACAGGCTACAAAAGTCCTAGTTTAAAATTCTATTTTTGGAACATTAAATAGCTTTCTAAGTCAACGTACAATCTTTCCGAGGACTCAACCCATTGTCGAGCCTTTATTTTTAACTCAGCCAAGTTATTGACAGTAGAATAAAGACGGATTTCTACAGTTTCAGCCAAAAAGCCAGGACTCTTTGGGACCTGTTGCCATCCAGATATTTGAGGCAGCAGCAGTTCTTGGGATGCCACAGAATGACTAAGCCAGCCATTGGATCCCACTGGAGTCGTGTACAGAAATGGATATGGGGTACATTTTCCCCAGAGAAATGAGGTCCTATTTTAAAATATTCCTGGAGTCACAGAAACCAATTATTGTAGCTTGATTCTCTTTGCTGTGATAAAACATTGACCCAAACTAATGTGGGAGAAGAAAGACTCCCAGGTCATAATCCATCACTGAAGGAAGTCAGGGCTGTACTTGAAGAAGTGACCAGGAACATTGCTTGCTTACTTGCTTCCAGGCCCCCAGCAGGATGGTCCTTCCTCCATAAATTAACAATCGAGAAAATGCCTCCACAGGCCAGTCCGGTGGAGGCAGTTCCTCAGCTGAGGTTTCCCCTCTTCCCAGGTGTCAGGTTGACAACCAAAGCTAACTGACACCAAATTTGGCTTCTGACAAGTAATGCAAGTCCTGTTTTGCTTATTAAAATAATGCGTGCTGGAGCCTTGATAAGTGTCTTCTATTAGCACATAGCTGTGAGTTCATTCCAGGTCAGTGTCCTGGCAAAGCCTCATGCTGGGAACCTGGGGGTTCGGATTTGTACTTGGAATACCAAAATTGGTATTTTGTTTTCTTTCATATGTCCATTGTGGGAAGCTCTACCTATATGTTTCTATTTCAATATAAATAATATGCAAAGAGATTGTTTTTCTGTCTCATTCATAGTAACCAACGTGAGCAGCCGTTACTCATCTCACTGAAGCAATTTTTCCTTGTTTTAACAGATTGATTGATGATTGAGACAGACTCTGTCCTGTCTGGCCTCAAGTCCTGGCTGGCCTTGAACTAGCTGTGTAGGCTAGGGTAGCCTTGAACTCACAGAGATCCACCTGTCTTTACCTCTGAGATAAGGGTGTGCACCATGCCCACTATGCCCAGCAACCTTGTTTACTTACCTTACCATATCCAGGAGATTCCAGAAGATGAATAAAACACACACCACATATTTCTCTTGGATTTCCTCTTGACTGGTGATCACCCCAAAAAGGATGACCACTCTCTCTGTGAGCTAATAAAAAAAAAATTAAGAAATAAGATCATCTGTTAGGTTTTTAATTTTCCAGTTTTAAAATCTGTGAGACGCACCTCTTGACCAGCAAGCAGGGACGACCACGAAATCGAGAATTCTTCCCAAATCACAACTTTATTGGAGCACTCGGTTGAAGGGGGAATGGGGGACGAGAGAGGACGAGAAAGGGAGAGCAGGAGAAGGCAAGAGGGAAAAAGCGAGAGAGAGAGAAAGGCCCAGAGGCAGCTGCTTTTAAACGGTGGAGGGACTCGGAAACTGTCCTGATTGGTGAATACCATGCTGCTGGTGCCCGGGGGTTCGGGATAGGCTAGGGAACCAAGGCTCAGTTGCGCATGTGCAGGCAAGGGCACTCAACCCCACGTGGCTATGCCAAATATGGACTTGTTTACCTCCAAGCTGTAGGATCACCTGCGCCATCTTGTAATGGCGATTTCTCCAGGTGGCTTCTTACAAAAATCCAGGGCTTTGTTTAAAAGAAATGCCTTAACTAGAAATACATTTTCTAAACCATTAACAATGGCTGTCTCTGAAAGAGCTGGGTTATGGATGAATTTAATTTCCTGGGGTTTTTGTTTTTCTGTACTTTTCTAATTATATATAATGAAGATAACAGTTTACCTAAGTCAAGATATTTCCTCTCTTTTTGACCTACACACATTTTTAGCTCACTTTGGCAAGCTCCTACCTGAGTGTCTTCTACCCATTAGACAACGCAGTGAAAACGATCGCGCCTCCAGAGCTGGTGGTGGGGAGGGTAATTATAGTGCAGTATGCTCAGGCAGGATGCACAGCTAAGGAAGGAGTTACTTGCTGCTGGAGAAAGGGATGCGAGAGGTTCCTGAAGACCAGCAGCATTTCAGCTGCCTCCTGCAGCGTGGACTGGAGTTGCCAGGCAGAGTGAATATGAGAAAGGGTCTAGACAGGAGCATCCTGAGCCGGAGCAGCGGTGTGACAACGGGAGGTGCCCCGGGGGAGGAACGAGAATCGCAGAGATGAGTGGATGGCATGGAGAAGGGAAAATAGGGAAAGAAATTGAAAATGTGTTTGGAGCTGGGTTGTAAAGGGTTTTGAATGGCTGGTCAGGAAATTTCCATTTTAATCAATAGAGAAGCCATTGTAATTTTTTTTTATTTTTGCAGGGTGGTAACATAACCCTAACCTTCATAAGCCAGTGGAAAATGGAAAGAATTTAACACATTCTTGGAATATATGTTATATATGCCAAGTTACAAACATCTAAAGATCACTGAGACTTCACATATTTCTGGCCTAGCTCCAATTACTAGCTTAAATCAAACATCATTCTCTTTCCCTACAAAGTATAAAGTCCCCTGTGTTATATTAACATAGCCTTAGAGTCTACATTTTTGTGTTTTATAGGGCATTTCTTTTTGCTCTCAGTGGTCAAAGGACTGAGATTGATGCAGCGTATTGGTGGCCAAGGAAAATAAAATATAAAGGGATCATTTGTCATTTTTCATAGCCAACTTTATTTTTTAAAGCTGATTAAGGAGAAAAACTCTGTGATAATCCACAACAGAATCATGGGATGTTATTGTAAAAAAAGAAAAAAAATCCGAGATTTGCCAACAGCAGTCCACATGATCGGAAACCCACATGTATAAGCTATGTCAGCGTGTTTATGACTGCAGAGGTGAGTCAAGGGGGCCCTTGCATGGCTAAGGGGAATTAGACATGATTCAAACTTAGTCAATCTATGGGAGTTATCCACAGGGCTCTTTTCCCTTGGTCAGGCTTTAAGATATAATGATCTAGTTGCTTAATTTATCTTGTGTCTATATGAAGTCTTCTAAGCTGCAATTTAAATAACTGAATAGCTCAACCTGACTGCAGGACTCCAGGCAGCTTGTGGATGGAAGACTTGAGCATCTCACAACTACTTAGGCACTATCTCATCTTGCAGTTGATTAATGCCTAAAACCCAGAGAACTTATGTTGTTGCTAAAAATCTCAGGAAGTATGCACACAGAGATACATACAGCATAGATTCCTAATCTCATGGTTGGGTGTTTCAAAACCTAAGATCTATAGAATCTCTCTACATAGAACATTCTAATAGTAGCCTGACCCCACTCTCGCTTGAATGAAACCTGGGAACCAGAAAATTTAAATGTTCTGTCCATACCATGGGTGAGTAGGAAGCACAAGTCTCCTAGTCACTGGATTTGTAAGCCGTCTACGTCAGCCTTTAATGGTGAGGGCAGAGGAAAATCTACCAGTGGGGCTGTATGATAAAACTACTAAAATATCAGTGATATCAATGGAGGCTGTGTGGCTCCTTAGTGTCAGGGTCCTCAGCAATAGATATACCCCCAAGTGCCAATGACAGCATGCGTATGAACCTAGAAAGATTTCTGCCATATGCATTGTTACACAGTGTAAACCTAACTCGTTATCTGATGGTTATTTAACTATATTCAATGACCGCCCAATAGAGGCAATTGGTTAGAGATATTAAATTGATAAAAGTCAATACTTAACAATTTTCTGCCAATTTCCAAATTTACAGTTTTTTATTTAATTACAGCAACTCTAAGAAGTCACTATTACTATTTATTTGCCTTACCCAAAAAGCTTGTGTTTGGCTGGGATGAAATCAAAATATAAACTCTAAGTCCTGTATTCTGAAATACCAGAACCTTTTCATTTTTCACTTTAGGGACCACTACAGACCTAACATCCAGACTATGGTCTGCTCTTTAAAGGACTTTCCGCAGCTGCCTAGATGGCTCAGTAGGTCAGGGCGCTTGCAGGGAGCCTTGTGACCTGAATAAGCAGCCCTGGAACCTCATGAAGGTGTAAAGAGAAGGGACTCCTCAGCCTTGTCCTATGATCCCAACATGTGCAGCCAGCACATACTTTTTTAATTAAAAAAAATACTGAAGTTATGTTGTTAAATAATAAGGTACTTTATTAAACATGGGTGCTCAAGCAAGAAACTCAATAAACTCAGTGGTCCACACACAAAAGAAGGCATGAAGGTGAGGCTGGGGGAAGGGCATGAAAAAGGCCAAAATTCTTTAGTAAATGTATGAAACTTCAAACAATTTTTTTTTAAATTCAGGAAATAGGAAAAATGAATGGGTAAAAACAGCACATCAACTGGAGGAAGAATTTCTCAACTCTTAAGAAGTTTCAACCTCAAAATTAATATTTTGCCAAAATTTAACTATTTTAAATCCTATCAGAATTTTTAAAAACCACAAAACACATTTTGTATACATGCTTGAATGTGAAGAGATGTGTGCACACATGTGTGTAGAGGCCAAATGCTGAGGTCCACTGCATTTAAGACAGGTCTTTTCTCTGAGCCCAGAACTCATTGAATCGTTAAGACAAGCTGGTCAGTAAGATCCAGAGGTCCTCCTTCCTCCCACTGCCCAGCACTGGGATTAGAGGTGGATGCCACCGCACCTGCTTCCCTGTAAATGTTAATTAGCTGTGGGGTGGGAGGGTGAATGTCGTGGTACACATGTGGAGGTCCAGGGACAACTTTGGGGAGTTGGTTCTCTCTCTACCTTAAGTGGGTCCCAGGAAATCGAATTCAGCTCACCAGATCTGTGGCACAAGCACTGAGCAATCTCTCTATCTAAAGATATAAATTTTTTAAAAAATACATTTTTAAAAACATTTATTTATTAATGTGGAACGTATGTGGAGTATTGATTCAGAACAGCCAGGAGCTTCTTGTTTGAATGTGTAGTTTTTAAGGAGAAATTCCACTAAGAACAGAGCACTATCTGTATGTCAGTTTTGGAATGGCCACCAAAGTGACAAAAATGAAAAGATCTTAGTGTTTCAGAAGATAGTACTTGGGGTCATAGTGTCCAGATTTTAGTTCCAGATCTGTAGGAAGTAGTGTTTGCAGGACATTTTCCTGCAGAGATAATGAAAACTCAGTGGGTTTTAAAAAGCCATTCTACATTTGTAAAATTACACCATGAAGAGAACTTGGTACCTCTCTACTGAAGAACTCCATGGATCAAAATGACAAGGGCTAAAGGCCCTAATGTTCCCATAGAGTGAACTCTGTGTGTAGTTCACGCCCCCAAAGCTCCCAGCTTTAGCCCTCGACACATCTGCAGCTTAATCTCTAGTAATAAAGCAGAGAGCAGGCTCATAGCCTACAGGGAGAGAACTCTGGGAGAGTTTATGGAAGTTCAGAGATGACCTAGTCTAGCAATGAAAGTCAGCTGCCTAGAGAAATCAGACTGGAAGTGACTGCCTCTCACACAGGAGTTAGACACTCTCCTTCGAGATTCCTCTGTGTGTCCCCCCCCCAAGGGGCTGTGACAGAGCTCTCCTTGTCCTCAGCATAGATAGGAGACACAGCTGATGACATTGGTTAATACAGAAGCGTTTCCTGCACTCGACTATCATGGATGGAACATGTGTGACATGATAACTTAGGGGAAATCATTTATAGTGCTTTGATTTGTAATTTTTTTTAAAAAATTGCATAAATGCGCTTAAGAAATGTGCAGCGATGTTCATGGTGATTGACAGAGGGACAGGATATGACATGAACCACTCGAAGTCAACTGTCTTCTTCTGAGTTTCCTATAAGGCATACCTGTCAAACACTGTGGTACAAAGGGTTATCTGGGGTTGTTTCCCTTTTCCTAAGTTGAAACATCCACAGATTTTATCAAGACAAGCTTCTAAGGCTTTGGCAAAACTGAAGACTGAACAAAGCCTTCAAAACCAGCACGGCTGTATTCCCATTTTACAAAGGCAAGGTTTTGGTTTTCCTAAAGAAGTCGATCAAAATCAATGAATACCATTTAACTTTGTTTTTTAACTAATGCAATGAAATATGCAGTTTGTCTGGAAGGAAAGGCTGGGGAGGGAAAGCACTTAGCTCTCCTTGACACTGTCATTTTAGCATGCTTCTTTTGTGTCTTCAATTTCCCACTTGAAATCAAGACTATCAGAGTTTGTTATGTTTCTGTATGTAATTTAAGTGATATATAATTAGTATAAACAATAAGTCTATTAACAGATTTTTGTGTTATATTTTTGGAGTTTTCCTCATAAGTAGTTTTTAAAAGAACAGATGTCTGTTAAGTAACTACAGTCTTAGAGTGTGTGCTTTCTCTGCTTTTTTTGTTTTATCAATTGCATATAACTTTAAAAATTATAGCATTTTGCTTCTTGTCAGATATGTGAGTGTAAAACATTAATAACTCAGAACAATGAACAAACTCAAATCTGCTCTCATTCCCCCAGTGCCAGCTCTCACCAGATGGTAACATTAGTTGTTCAACTAGCTAATCCAATCCATTGTTTATGCTAGCTAATTTGTTATCTTGACGTTTTGGAAAATCCGTTCTCAAAAGAGCACATTCTATTGTGGCTTTGCAATGCCGCAAAGGTAATATCATAACAATACCACGACTCTATAGACATAGATTTGTTCTCTCTGGAGCAGCGGGACAGGATGTATAAAATACTGCATCCAGGCGGTCATAATCCGTGTAAGTAACTCCGCTCCTCTAAGTACCATTTCTTCTTTTAAAAATGGGGAAATAGGAACACCACAAACGATTACACAACCTAGGGTTCTGTTACATTATTTTTAAGCAGAGTACTTGGGGGTCATCTCATAATGAAAAAATTCTAATTATTTAATGAGAAAAGACATCAAATGTAAAACTCCACCTCTGAGGCCCTTATAAAGTCTTTTTAATGTCGTTCCCATTCCTAGAACAATGTGATAAAAACAACAGAGGGCGCGTACAACTTCAAGTAAGAAAGGAAGCAGACTGGCGCATCCAAAGGGCTGTACTCATGTCTGGATTGCTTATAGCCCGGAATGCTTGTCCTTGGCCCTGGAACCCTGATCCCTGCCTCTCCTTCCCCAGCATTGAAGACTTAAAGGTCATTGGGTTCCATTAGCCTTGGACGTAGCAAACTTACTGCTCAATAAATAAATGTGCAAGTGTATTTGCTACTGTTTTTAAGTGACCAAATCAGGAGTTGGTTCTTGGGTTTCAGTGGTGGTTCTATATGCCATTTGAGATTTAATTATTGGTGATTGAAAATCACACTTGAATGTTCTGGGATTTGGGTATGTCTAAGAAATCCGATGTCTCCGTTCTACAGTAATTTTGAATAGGCAAATAATTTTGATTAGGCAAGTCTAGGTAATTTTGTCAAGCGAACAATATGTGGGTGTTTTCTAGGGATATTTCAAGTTCTCCCTCAGTTTTCTTTCTTCCTGACTAGGTCTAGACCCGTGCATTAGCAACAGCTGAACTAACATCACCTTTGTGTCCCCACACCATGGGCTGCCGTTCGTGCGTGGAGGGCAGAGGACTGTGAGCACCGGAGATGAATGAAGCTCAGGTCGCCAAGCTTGGCAGCACCCAGCCATCTCTCTGACCTGCTCCTGCTGTGTGCGTCCAGAAAAATCTTCAGTGTGTGGAATATCGGGTTCTTGCTAGAGCCATGAGGATTATACTGTTACCTGCATCTTTTAAATGGTCATGGTATTTCAGGCAAATTAGCACAGGGATCCACAGTGAGCAAGTTTTAAGCTCTATGTTTACGGTCTAAGCACTTCGCTGGGTATTTAAATATGTTCAGGGTCAAATATTTTAGGAAATAGTTTGTTTTCCAGTTTCTTTTGAAGATTCCTAAAATTATGCTCATTGAGATGACTTTTCCAAATCCTGGGGTTTTAATGTATGTCCATGTAGTAGTCACCTAGTCCTTATTTTGTCTTTCTCATGGAAAGTACAATTTTTAATTATTTTTTTAGTCTTAATTCAGCAATGATTTCCTATATAGAATGTCTACCAGTAGTAAATTTTCAGTCTTCTGTCGACCTGCCTTTAAGACAAGCACTATCATTTTGGGTTTTGATCCCCTATTCTTTCCCATCAATGGCCCAGTGGCTATGGCGGTATAACCCCACAGAGGTCAGGAGAAGAGCCAGGCCTCAAACCCAAGTCTAAAGGCTTCTACTCCGAACCTGTACACTGTCTTATCTACTTCAGAAGGAGACACATGGAAAGGGGAAATGGCCATGGAATCTCCAGGACAGAATCCATGCAGGACACAGACTGAGCAGCGGTACTCTCTAAACACTGATAATGGGCCATTCTGACTGCTGTAGTTTAGGTAAGGGGATCCTATGTATGAATCTTGCCATACAATCACTAGGGACTCTACATAGGACAGAGTCGAGAATTAAAGAGTCTATAACAGCATGATTAAACTTACCTGCAGAAACCTTGGGAAAAGATGGTTTGACTCGATGCCAATATAAATGTGCAGCAGTTCCAGGAGGGAGATGGACTGGCAAACACGCATCACCAGCCCGATAGCATAAAACGTGTCGACCATTGAATCTGTGTCAGTGACAGAGACGGGCACAGTGAGTCAAAGCCGCACCAGAGCGCATGCCTGTGGAGTGCTGCAAAATACAACTGAGATACACTTATTGTTTGTGCAAAAATCACTCCAAATAAGCTGTTAAACTGTAGCCATGAGGTACAGCCCCACCGAGTACTGTGGGACTTACAAGAAGCACTGTTTAGTACTTACAAGAAGTACTGTGGTACTTATAGGAAGCATGTGAATACTTACAGAAAGGCATGTATAATTCTTTTTTACTGGTCCTCTTCCAAAAAGAACTGAAACTTATGAAGTCTTCACAGCCAGAGTTGTATTTATTCCCAATATATGAGATTCTCATGCAATTCCCACACAAATGTAATCAGACAGAAGCTAAACCCCTTGGGGTGTAGATAGTTTGGGAATGAACTCACTAAAAAAAAAAAAACCTGATGTGCTCAGCTTTTTTGTTAACAACAACAAAATCCAGAGAAATTTTATAGAAAAGACACTGATGATGCTGTGATTTCAGACACCAAGTCGATCTGCGCTTCAGTCCTGACACATTGGACTAGTGACATTGGGTTTGTTTTAAGCACTGAATTGTGGAGTTGGTGTTGTTAGAGGATACAACTGAGATGTTCTTAGAGGTCCTCAGAGGGAATAATAATATTAATAATAATAAACAAACTTATTGCTTTAAATCTTAAAATCCTGCCTCATTTGGAAACTTCTAGGGGTGATTTATCTATTTTTACTGTTTCCAGGTATTTGCATGATTATCACTGACCAGGTATTAGGGTTTATTTTCTTGGTGTCTCTGTAAGATAGGTGCTGTTACCACGATGCCCCTCCCAGAGGCAGTTCTTGACACACCAATAGCCCATACTCTGACCCACTACCTGTGACATTACACAGCCCTGACAGAAGAAGGTAGTGGGTCACACAAGTTCATTGCTTAGAGCAATGGTTCTCAACCTGGGGCTCAAACACCCCTTTCACAGGGGTTGCATGATGTGGGATTCCCCTCTGCATGCTGTGAATAAATATGTTTATTACCATTGGTTAATAAAGAAGCTGCTTTGGTCAGTGGCTTAACCAGGCTGGAAATCTGAACAGAGATAAATAGAGAGAGCAGGCAGAATCAAGGAGATGCCACGTAGCTGCTGAAAGAGAGAGATACCAGATCCTTACCAGTAAACCACAGCCTCGTGCCCCTCTATAGATTAATAGAAATGAGTTAGTTCAAGATGTAAGAGCTAGCTAGAAATATGCCTGAGTCATTGGCCAAACAATGTTGTGATTAGTATAGTTTCTGTGAGATTATTCAGGTCAGGGCAGCCTGGAAATGAAAGAGCAGTCTCCTTCTACAGTTGCATATCAGATATTTACATTACAGTTCATAACAGTAGTAAAATTACAGCTATGAAGTAGCAAAGAAATGTTATGGTTGGGGTCACCACAACCTGATGACCTGTATGAAGGGGTCACAGCATTAGAAAGGCTGAGAAGCACAGGCTGAGGAAATAGAACTGATTGCCTACTCCATTGTTCTGTCTTCTTTTCAAATGAACAAACCATTTATGTTTCTCTAATATATAGCTGCTACAATCACAGCGTCATATCATAAAGATACTAGTGGCTAAAGCCACTTTCCCCACAGGGACACAGGATGTGAGTGACGTGGAGTCTGCCCACACAGCCTCACCTAACCGTCAAGGCACACAACGGATGGCTTCCCGCCACATGTGTCTCAGGTTCTTTCTGTCTGAACACTCCGGGTGCTCATAGCTGACACTCATGTCTTCTGCTGTAGCTCTGAGATGGACAAAGGCCAGAATGTATACATTTTCAATAAAGTCGAGACACAGAACGGTTTGCGGCAGTCCAGGAGGCGATTCTCAGTTGATGAGCTCAGCATGGTTTTTTTCCAGCCATGCTTGCATTTGTTTTTAGCTAAAGCAGCAGTTGCTCAAATTGTCGAGTCACCAAACAGTCGTAAGCTGTGATGACACTTACTCATGCGGGGATGGAGCACAGAGAGAATGTTGTGTTGACAGCCACTGGGTGATTCATTCTTTAACAATCCGAAATGAATAGTTTAAAGAACCATCTTGACTTTTTAGGAAACTGATTCAAGTCATCAATACCAACTCCACATAGATATCTAGTCATCAGTGTGCTGTGTCACATGCGAATTACGTAAGGGGTCAAACGGTCTTGGTGGGGTACGACACTTGTCATTCAGTTACTGCTAATCTTCAGCTACCCCAAACCTGGGGAATAAAAATCAGTGGAAGAATTTCATTGATTTCTCATTGCTTTGTATAGAATGTCAGGTTGGAATTCATGGGTTCCTCAAAATGCATTGAATTTGTGAATTTGGTGCAGAAGCAAAAAGGAACATCTCAGAGATATGACTTTGCTTCCAAAGCCAGCTGCCTACTCTAGGGCAAGACAGGTCCCTTCCCCTCCATCTCACCTACTCCTTGCTACAAAAAGGTTTAAGTTTGAAATAATGAAATGCGGTTATGGAAAAACAAACTCTAGAGAAGTGAATGGTCCCAGGCGTGCTGGACAGGAGTTCAAAATGAAAATCTGTAAGACGAGATGAGAACAAGGAATAAAAGTCAAAAATCCAAACTGCTTCAGAGTTTACCTTTTCCAAATGAGAAGAATCTGGCTGTCATATTTGTCAGTATCCACGAGTGGCCGCAGAACTGGACAAGGTAATAGATGAAGAGGTACACATCCTTTCTATACCTGTAAACACAGGGACACAGAGCTGGACCAGGTAATAGATGAAGAGGTACACATATTTTCTATACCTGTAAACACAGGGACACAGAGCTGAACCAGGTAACAGACGAAGAGGTACACATCCTTTCTATACCTGTAAACACAGGGACACAGAACTGGACCAGGTAACAGATGAAGAGGTACACATCCTTCTACACCCGTAAACACAGGGACATGCCATTGGATGCATCTTTAAATGTATCATTCACACGGAGCAAGCAGAAGGAAATCCCACACCAGAGCTCTGTATCGGGGTCCTTCACTGGGTTGGCTCTCCAAACCCACTAAGGTTTGATGGAACAAACTTACCTAACATGAGCATATTGACTGAGATTCCTGAAAAGCTACGATAGTTCTTTTCCAGACTTCATTTTCATCTTTGATAAAATTCTAGCCTTGTTTCTCTAATACTTACAGACAGCTTTGAAATTTTGAAGGAACAGGGAAGGAACATGGTTGCAAAGGGACTGGTTTGGGCAGCTTGCCTAATGAATGATCTTAAAGTCCTGGCTTGCCTTTATCAGAGGGGAGTGGTCACAACTGGTGATTTAGTAACTGGACACACCTGACTTTTGAGTATCTTGTGATTGAGTTACTTTCTTCACCCCCACCCCATTGTCCTTTACAAGAGAACCCAGTTTCCTTCGTCAGACACACATAGAAAGCAGTTTAGTTGCTCAAGCCAAAAAATAAAAAGGAAGTCAAGCTGAGTGTAAAAATGTGTTGTGGGTTACTGGGGAGATGACTAAGAGAAGATTGACAGATTCCTGGTTTCAGTAAGTTCCAAAAGGCGGTGTTTGAAGGGCTCCCCGGTGTGCAAAAGGATGGATGGAGTGGCCTTTGTCAATGTAAACAAGGACGTCTCTTAGCCGGAGATGGGAAACCTCTGAGACAAGCTATATAAACTGGGAAGCCGATTCTCTGGCAGTCAACAGATGACCCAAAACTACTAAAGGGATTAGAAAGGGGAAACTCCAACCCAACCAGAATCACCTGGCTGTTGGTAAATACACACCCCAGGCCCTAATTTTTCTGGAATCCCTCCTGTGATGGGCGCTGCTGGCCACTGGCCACTGAAAAACACCCTGCGCCAAAGTCTAGGACGCCGCGGGGACAGGGAGGAAGGGAAAGACTAGTGGGGGTGCACCAAGAGAAGAGGTAGCCATGCAGCCTGTCCTTCCATTTCCTCATCTCCAAAAGGGGGGAAACGGCCCAAGCTCTGTCCTGAGTTTGAGGAGAAAATAGACCGGTAGCACCAGGCAGGAAGAGCAGCGAATGCTGAACAGAATCCGGGCGTTGCCCATGAGTGGAAGCCGGTGGGTGGGCTTTGCCCAGCGCCCTGGCCCCTCCCTCCCCGCCGCCCTGAGCCCTACCTGGGCTGCAGCCATGTGGGCAGCACCGAGGGCCCCATGGGCCACAGTCTACACCTCCAGCGCCTCCGGGAAGCAGCAGGACCCGGCAGGGAAAGCAGGAGGGGCGGCCCAAGGGCCGGGCGCGGAAGGGCGGGGCTTCAACACACTCAGCAATTTTTGTTGTTGTTTCTTGTTTTTTTTTTAAAAAAAAAAAGGTCGTGAGATGGGCAGGAGATGAAAGCCAAGTTCCTGTCATGCTGCTCTAGGATAACTGGCTGGGGCACGGAAAGTACGCTGAATGAACAAACACATCCTCGCCCCAGGCTTACCAAACTCATCAAACTCATCTGTGGGTGGGGACGGCTGGAAAGCTGAGCAGGCTCTAACTAGCCCCGCCCCCCCCCCCGCCCCCAGGGGGGGGGGAGCCCACAGGCTGATCAGACCTTCTCTTAGAAACTCTAACATAAACAGTGTTAGGGAAGCACTCAGCCCAACACCTTTCCAAATGGGGGCCAGAGCCCTCCAGAAATCCATCGCTGACACCCCGAGCCCTGACTGACAGCTGTACTCAAGCGCACAGCTCTCTCATCTTGCCTTAACACCACTGTCCACCGCCAACACTCCCGCGCCTTTTCCTGGTTTCTTGGGGAGATGGCATCCCCACCTTCTGGGTTAGTGAATGTCAGGAGCATCTTCCAGTTACTCTCTTTTACAGGAAAAGGGAATAAAAACAGCCTCCAAAGTGCCCCCCCCAAAACAACAACCAAAATAGGTGGAACAGTTACATACAGTTACTGGAGTTGGAAGGTAGAGCTCCCTCCCATCTTACCAAAAGGGAACTTGTGGCTTTAAGAAATATTGTCACTCACCACAGGTCTCACAGCTGATAAACAGCAGGGTTAGAAGTTAAGAGTCAGCAAATTTTCTTATTGGGCCATGGTTTCCTTCCTCATAGCTGTCGCTATGGCTGTCTCTTGAAGTGTCCCGCTATTCCATGCCCTCAGCCGGGGGCAAGCTCCCCTGCCGCCTCAGTCACTTCTCAAACCCATTGTCAGTTGTTGCTCCGTCTGTCTGTCCATCCTTATTCTCTCCTACACGCATGCAGTCTTAGAACATTTCCAGTGCACACGTGTTGGCTCACACCTGCAACCCCAGCACTCCAGGAGCTGAGGCAGGCAGATGATCGCAAGTTCAATGTCAGCCTGGACTACCCAATGAGTTCCAGGGCAGCCCGGGGACAGAGGGAGACCCTGTCTGGGACGAGGGATGGGGACACATTTTCAAATCTCTTACAGTAGGGTTCTGAATTCACTTTTTCAGCAGCCCCTTCCCAACCGGGTACCTTCTGCCATCACCATCCAGAGCGTGCTCTCATTCCCCATCACCCTCTTGCCCCATGCACTTTGCAGTTTGGCCTCCCCACACTCTGAAAAATGTTCTCGGGGTTCCTGGAGTCCCTTTGAAGTGAGCAACTGAGCTTTAGTTGAGCTTGTGATGCCCAAGCAGACACAGGTGGGTGTTCCCAAAAGCCATCTGCACCCCAGCCCAGCAGTGACATGGGAGTTTCTGGGCAGACTGGAGCTGGGAGGGCAAGGAATCTGCCAGAGAAGATTTCCTTTAACAGCAAACACATCTTCATTTTCCTCGCCCCCCTTCACTTTTCCAGCTCTGCCACTTTTCCACTGCTGTCTCTCTTTGAATAGATTCCTCCCTCTGCTTCCTCAGAGGCCTGCTCACAACTACCCTTCAGCAGAGACAACCACCGTGCACAGCTTCTTGCCCTTGTAGACTTTCCCTCTTTGCTCTCGCTAGTACCGATGCTCTTCTGAGTACCAGCTCTGGCTTTGGAATGGTTTCTGGATATTGTTCTGTGTAAGTCTTATCATTACTTCCAGTTGAAACTGTTTAAAATACCTTACTACCTTTCTTCCTAGACCATTGCCTGATTGCCCGTAGTGACATCACCATTCTAACGGCTACTTAGATTTAAAACTTGGGTGTCATTGTCTCCCTATCCAGTACAATCCTAGCGATTAGAGCTACTGCTGACTTCCTGTATTCACACTCTCTAGTACGGGTGTCAGGCAAAGCCACCCCCAACCCAGTCTGCATCATCACCACAGCGGCCCTCTGTATCATCACTCAACCCCTTGGCTTACACCTTTCCGATGCATCTTAGGTTCCATCTTAGTGCCAGATGAAAAAGAGGGCAATGAACCAACAAAACTAACAGCAACCAAACCTTCCCAGTCCAGAAGGGAACCCTCGAATTTTCCAAAGGAATACGTACAAGAATAACTTATGGGAAATCACTCAAGATGGGAAATGAAATTCCTCCCTTTCCTCGGAAGACACTCAGTGGTGCGCATGCTCCCCAAGCCTGGCCTGTGATATGGAGATAGCTTCATTCTGCCTCCCTACTTCCTGCTCTCCCCTCCTTCAGCCCAGACAGATTTGTGAGAGGCTGCAGAAAGCATTTCTTCCTCTTTTTAATATGCATGTTATTTTTAATGGCGTGTGTCTGAGTGCACGCGAGCACAGGTGCCGAGGGAGGCTAGAGGACTCTGGTCCCCTGGAGCTGGACTTAAGGGCAGTTGTGAGCTGACAGAAATAGGTGCTGGGAACTGAACTCAGGTCCTCTGCAGGGGCAGTGTTTGCTATTAACCACTGGGCCATCTCTTCAGTCCCGAGACAGCATTTCTTCGGACGTGTAATACCCGTGTTACTCTCAGTACCATTAGAGCCCGGAGATTAAAAGAACACACAAGAGACCTGGGTCATTGGAAAGGAGATAAGCCAAAGGCCGTTTATTTAAGCTTAGGAAAAACCTTAGACACCTAGAAGCTGCACAATGGAATTTCTTCCAGGCAGGTGGGAAATTACCACGCCCAAGGTGGAGTAAACAAAGGCCCTATAGCTAACTACCAGGGTGGCAGAGGGAGCACAGAGTAGCTGGAAAATGCAACAAAATGTCTGGCCAGAAGCTGTACTCGAGATGAACCCTGGGAGGAGGGATAGACCCATGGGCCCTACAAAGACCTAAGTCCATTTCCCAGAGAAACGCTGCTACCTGACCCCACTAGACACCCTCTGCCCCTGCACCTCCCTGAATCTTGCATCCTTTGCTTTACATTGCTGCTCCACTTCCCTTGCCCTTCTCACAGACCAGCACTTACCTGCCAGAGTTCTATTCATTATTCAGAGGCTTCCCCAGAGCTTCCTGCGGGAGTCACACCGGGTTAATGCATGTCTACAGTGACACATACCTTGGGGTATCATTACTCAGGTCCACCTTCCTCATCTAGATTACAGCGTCCAAGAAGGCTCTGTGCCTTGTGCTCACAGGGAGGACCTGGCAAGTTTACACCTTTGTAAACACAAGTTTCTCTTGTGAAAAGCACACAGCTGTTGGGAGATTAAGCAATAAAATGAATGGATGAGAGAGGCTCGCAGTATTTAGTGGCCGGAACAACAGGTGTCTCTGAAGGGGAGGAGGACAGAGGAGCCAGGGAAACCTGTGTTTTCCTAGCCCAGAATTTTAACAAAATGAGCTCTAGGTGATGACTGCCATCTCCTGAAATGAATACCACAAACTTCCAGTTGCCTGTTTATATGGTAGCCAGTTGGTTCGTGATATAGAGAGTCTTGTCTTTGGAAGGAGATTTTTGTTTTTCCATTGTTGAAACACTTCCGTTGTGTTTCCCTTGGGGACATGTTCACAATGTTACTCCTCCTAACGAGCATCAGAGGAGAGCCTTGAAGAACAGACCGTGGTGGTAAAACGGGCTCCAGACTAAACAGCAGCATGAGGAAATGACAAGGCCTGCCGTCACCACAAATCCCTCGGGGAAACTACGGGTACTGACTGAAGATGGAGATTGGGTGCTTATCCACCCAGCCACATCTACCTCCTTCCCTTCCTTCCTCACTATGCCCCTCCCTCCCTCCTTCCGTCTTCCCTCTGTGTTTTTTCCCCTCTCTTACTTGCCTGGGCAGCCGGAGCAGAGACTTTTTAATTCATTTCTTCCCCCTCAGCCGGAATTACGTCTTTAGGAGCCGATTCCTGTCTTACAATGATGGCGTTCAGTTTTTGTGTTTACTTCTACTCCTGAGAATTATTGGGGTTCACCGCTTCCCCACCTCTAATCCTACAGCACAGACTGCTTTCCCTGGTTGCTGGGATAGTGCAGGACCCGAGACTGCTGTCAATCACCCCATCTCACAGGCACCAAGGAGCTACTTAAAGCTACCCCAAGGTCTCTTTCCACAGTACTCTGCAGCTGTTCCTCTATATTTTCTCCATCCTTTTAGTATTATTAGGACCTTAGTTAGGAACAGCCGTTTGCTGTGACTGCCGAGGCACGCTCTCAGCCTCTGATGTCACTCTTTTGCAGCTGACTCGGTCCTGTGCCTACTTCTCTACAGAACCTGGACCATCTTTCTGTAAACACCTCATTCAGGAAGCCAAACAGTAGATTAAGACTCTGCCTCGCATCATCTTTTTTGTTTGTTTCTTTCGGGGGCCATTTTTGTTTTTCGATATAGGGTCTCTCTGTGTAGCCCTGGCTGCCCTGGAACTTGTTCTGTAGACCAGGCCAGCTTTGAACTCACAGAGATTTGCCCGCCTCTGCCTCCCGAGTGCTGGGATTAAAAGTGTGCACCACCACCATCTGGCTGCCATCATCTTTCTTTAACGTCCCCGCTGTCCTGTTCCAGACAGGTATCTAGGTTGTTCGGCCATGCAGAAGTTGGCCGTTTGTTCTGCTTTATTTGTTTGGGTTTTGAGAAAAGTTCTCATACTGCAGCCCAGGTTGGAAGAGGCCCACTATGCAGCGTAGGCTAGCCTCAAACCCACCACAATGCACCAATCTCAGCCTCCTGAGCATTGGGATTGCAGGGGTGAGCCACCACATCTTAGCAGCAATCTCTTTTGTGATTTTGTGCCATGGACACTGTCCTCATTCTGTTCTCTTTTCAGGCACTGACCAGTTAGCGGCTTCTGTTTTCCAGTGCTTTCCCTTGCCTCCCTGTGGTGCTCAAGAGCAACCAAAACTCTGGGAAAGTTTCTTGTCATAACTTTGTCAGTGCAGAAACGTGGTCAGATCTGCAAATGGTTCAGCCAAGGTCATAGAGCTAGAGAG